TAAAAATTATGCGTAAGCTTTCAGGCTGATAACAGCTCTTCTTCAAAGGCATGTCTTTTATTATTATTATTATTTCTGCCTCTGATGAAAGTGTTATGAGCCTGAAAGTTTTTATTCCTTTGTTAATTCAGGTTGTTGATGACAATAATGGACATTGTGTGTGTGTGTGTGTGAATAAAAGAGCATACAGTTAAATTTTTGGTTTTAAAGATCTGTAAGGTATGAAGTTTGTCAGATCAATTGCAGTTGTAAAAAAAAAATCGGTGCTAATACAGCTAGGTTAAATTAGAATCTACTTTTAGTAACCTTGAGTGTCTTTGTGGGAATTGCTTTGCCTTTGGCACAACTGATTTGGCTGACTACTCAAATTTAAAGAATGTGAAACATTAGCAATTACAGAAAAGTAGATGAAGATTGTTTTTTCTATGAAAGTGAATAAACTCATTGGTTACATTTTTGTTTTTTAAATAATGGGTAGACATTTAATTTGATGTGGTGTAAACCAATAAAATAATTAGACAATTTATTTCAGTATTCTCCTGTAAAATATTGTAAGTTAGTCTTCTATAATTTAAAAAAATTATGGATTTTTTAAAACCTACTCCTTACTTTCTTTAAGCATGTAATAAGTCTGAGAGCAAGGTTTAAAAGTTGTTTGCTTATGCTATCACCAAGGTATTTAATACTTTTGTTGAAATCAAAGTCATTCATACACTGTTTTATTGGACTGAAAGATATGACTCTGTACTCACTGTAAATAGCTTTTCTTTTACAGAATGCAGTACTTTATAGCTATAACTATTAGATAGTGCCCATGCTTACACTAAAGTATGGAGCTTAATATGAATACAGAAATAAAATACAAATACAGAAACTAAATGTTAAAGTTTTTATATATTTATTATATTTTTTTTCAACAAAAGTAAAAATATAATGTGTGACACAGAGGCCTAATGCCTTCCTTGTTTGGCCTCAACTTACACTGTGAGCACCCTCTACTATGGACTGCAGTTTCGACTGTTCAAGGCTCGTCAGCACAGCTTGGGTTACCAAATCAAATATATACAGTTAGGCCTTTTATAATGGTGGATTTGTATATAATAGAGGATGAGGCTAATCAAGGAAAGCATTAAGCCTCTACATCACAGATTACATTTCCAATTTTACCTTTGGTGAAAAGATATCTGTAATTATATATGTATTCATTAAACATTTGTTCCACGGCATAATATTTAATTATAAATTAGGCATAATACCGTAATATTATTCACTCACTTAAATTAATTTAGGTTACTATATGACGAGTTAAAAAGCACTCAAAATATTAAAGGTGTTCTTTTTAGATATAACTTTCTTTGTATTTTACAGACACATGTATACTTGTTTCTCATATAAACATTTATCATTGTGTTTTTGTTAGCCTTGCTGTATTGTTTTTACACTTACGAGTGTTTAAAGGTAGTAGGTTGACTTGATTCTACTTTATTGGCCCCTAACAGCACAGCTCTTGTCTTTCTTGTATTGTGACTTTCAATTGCCAGGAAGTAGATTATAAATCATTCAAATGCTCATTTGCTCTACTCACTCGAGCCAAGATTTATCATTCTCTGCAGTGTCTAAGTTTTTTCTGGGACCTGATATTGCATTTATGGTGATATTTTTGTCCATCAGTTGGAGAACACTTTCAGTTTTGCTATTCCATCCTAATAAATTACTTATGAATTATGTTTTCTCTTCTTCTGTGCTTGAGAAAGAGAATGTTTTGCCATCCATATTTGTCTGCCATACATGTATATCAAGACTGCAAGTTTCAATTACATGATTCATATTCTCTCTTCTTTAAATTTAAATTTTTTCTGTCCTTCAGCTTATATATGAAGTTTTATGTCAACAGCTTGACCTTTCCTTTCTTTGGCTTTGTCCCAATGCATATTTGTTTTTCTTTTTGTGAGTGTGTGTACATATTGTATCTAGTTGCTGGAATACACGCTACTTGAAACTTTTTTATTTTTATATTCTATTATAATACTCGGGTAAATTTATAATTGACAGATAAGTTGAGAATTATCCCCGAAATGCATATTTTAGGAAATATACAGTAGAAATAATTTTTAACTCGGGGAGTAGAGGAAAGATCTAACAAGCATAAATGAACAAATAAAAAAAATATATGTATTCACAATTATTGCATAAGTCTTGTCCTACTGGTCAGCTTACATACATTTGCTAGTTCTTATTAGCTGCCATGGGAGATGCTTTCTATACTCAGTCCAGACAGGACAAGACTAGAAAAATTACATTTCAGTGGTACAGGGCAAAGTCAATAGGAATTAAGATTTACCATCAAAATTCACACAAAACCAGTGCTGCATAGGTCACTGACTATTCAAAACAAGTATAGAAGAGAAAAGTCTCTAACTTGTATCAAATTGTAAATATTTTTATGCCACCCCATTAAGATGAACTTGCTTCTCCCCAGGGGAGTGAGACACAGGATCAGAATAATATGAGTCTGGAGCCATTGGGATATGCAAGCTTTATATGAGTAAAAGAATTAATACATGTTTACAGACTTTCAACATTTGGTTATCGAGAATGTTTTAGTACATGCATGAATGCCTGAATAAATATTTATTATAAACTAGTTATGAAATAGTAAAATTCATGACCATGTTAGCCATTACACATTAACAGGCTCATGCTGATTTGGATACTGGTGGACTTAGTTTGGTAGTTCTTCACAAGTCTCCATAGTTTCTTCTGGTGTGCTTTGGGTTGTTATGTCACTTTTTAATTCAGTCTTGTTTTTCTCAGTTGTCTGGTCAAAAGACATTTCACCTGCAGAAATAACACTTTGTTATAAGGTGTATAACTTTGCAAGCCAAAACTGTAATGACCTAACTTTGTTTTTAATAGTTTGCCTTCAACTTTTCTGATAACACCTGTTTTATTTTCTTATCCTTTAAACCATTTTAAGGTAAACAATCTGTATTTGAAAGTCTGTCTTTCTCTTGGCCAAATCAATATATATTTTTTTAATCTGTGTTGGAATTTTATCATGAAGTATTCATGTTACAGATATATACATCCAGTTATAAACTTGTGTCCATTTTAATTCCTTTCTTCAGATCTTCTTTTCTTTCCTTCTTCTAGAACTAGACATGCTTTTGTGCTTAGTATGCCTGTACTATGAAATTAGTGGCTCATTGTTTATTTCCATGGGTTCATTATAAGAGTGATGATCAAACCCAACTTTTCAGTTAGACAAAAATTGCCCAAACTCTGTTATTGGGTGCTGTTGACTATCTGCCTCCCCTCTTAGAGAGGGCTATGCACACATATCCATTCTGTAACTCTGTGCAAAAATTATATATATGTGTATGTATATATATATATATTAATTGTGTGTCTTCCACTCAGGAAGCAGGTTTTTCCTCCTTCACTCTAGTAACTTTGGTTTTGCCTTTTCCCGAACTAAGTGAAAATGTGCTGGAAGTGGTATAACAGATTGAACATTGCCCTACTGACCACTTCTGCTCTTCAGTTTTGTAGTTTTATTATTACATGTATTATTCTCTTTGTTGATAATGTACCTTTGTGTAGATAACAGTGTTATTTCTGCTATTAAGATGAATGATTGAAATTAATAATATAGTAGAAATATGCCTACAGTATAATCATGTGCATTCCATTGTTAAGTGTTATACATTTCTCCAGGTGAAGTTTATATTATAAGGTTTTGATTATGATTTGAAAATGAGCTGAACCATACATGAATGAAACTTAATCAGTGCATATTGAATTATAAATCATGCCTGTTCTGATACTGACCAAAAGCTTGATTCCACATGTAACCCTGTTGGTTGCCTTCATTATAACCAGTTATCTTGTGTTTGTTGTAAGACAACTATTGGAAGTTGGGTGCCTGATTATAATAAAGCTCATAGAAAAATTATAAACACTTCTACCTCCAATAAGTTGGTAATATTTTCTGTGTAAGCTGTAGATTTTTAAGTTAAATTATACTGCCCTTAATTATTCTCTAAATTGTGTTCTTAAACAGAACATAAAGATATTCTTATATTAAAGTATATTACCTGTGTCATTGATAACTGAATCTATGCTACTGTTATTTGTGTGTGATATAAACAACAGTTCAGATGTTGAAATCAAAAGGTCATGTAATATTCAGGAGGTTAATTTTATTATATTATACATGTCTAATTTGTAATTATGTGTCTGTTTACATATTTTCAGCCAGTAATTGATTTATTTAATGTTTTATTAATAAATGTTTTATTTTGATACATAAGTTGTTTGGGTTTTTTCATCTAAAAAAAAGTGATAATTGTTTGAAGACCTAATACATGTGTTTACCTGATTATAGAGTGAACCTACCATGTCTTATGTTCTGTGTTTGTCAGGGATTACAAGAGTAAGAGTATATCCATAATCTATAGATTGTAGTTTTTTAGCTCAAATTTCTAAAGAAGCTTGTACGTTATCCATTGTTGTTGTATGGTTTGTATGTCCACAATATTGTTTTTTTCTGATTTATCCTGCTAGTTTGAAATTTGTTACAAGAAAAACTTTCCAGGTTCAAATTTAGCTTACAGATGTCATGGATCAGATCTTAAGAAATATGACTTCAGCAACCTAAGTATCTGTAATTTTGTTATTTTTCTCAGTAATTATTGGAAACTAATTTCAATTAATAAATTAGTGTATGTGACACTAATCAATGTTATCATTTCTCATAGGTAACCCATTAAATTCCCCAGCTCTTGTCAACATATCTTGGTTACTTGTCATAATATTTTCCAAATCAAGTACCTACTTAAGCTAGTGTTCTTAGTTAAGGATAAATAAATTTGTATCTGTACTAAAAAATTTTTTATCTTATTTAACATTTTTGATGTCTGTTCACTGGACTACTAGCTTAGTGTTAGTGTTTTTATAGCAGGGTCAGAAATGGATGAACTTCCACCTGGAATTGGCCAATATGATGACTTTCACACCATCGACTGGCAGCGAGACATAGCTCGGGACCGAATGAGGCATCGGTACATAATCAAGAAACGAACAGAAGGTATATGGGATTTCGTCAGAGGTATTCATGATGCCTGGTCTGGTTGGTTGTGTGTTTTACTTGTTGGTGTTGCAGCAGGTGAGTGAAATTGTGACAAACATAATTTGTCCATATATATATATACTTATTTAATTCTAGGAGATTTGGGATCGTCAGTTTGATGCACCTGTTGTATGGTTTATTACATTGCAAAAACATTACTGGGTGAAATAGTTTGAAATTACAGAATTTTTTTCTAAAAATAATGTAGCTTCTGAAAATCAAATATCTTATTTTATATATAATATTTTTGTGAATTGGCAATTTCAAAATTGTGGAAAGATATTATTGTGATATTTTTTTAAGATGCTATTAAAACTGTTTTACTTTGTTCTAGATTTTATTTACTGATTCTTATGTCTTCCTACATTCTTCTAAAACTTTCCTATAAAGTTTTTATTATATAAAAACTGTAAATTTTGTATTTGCTTAAAACATAATGCACACAGTTTTCCTGTGTGTATTGACAGTGGCAAGTAATAAAAATAAGTTTTTTTACCATATCAAAATTATAATCAAGCCAACCCTCACCAGCACACCTGAGGTCCACATTGACTCCAACGAATTTCTCAGTTGTATATCTTTTTACATAATCATTACAAATTTATATCAATTCACATAATTGTCAAGCAGAAACCTTGGATCAATATGACACTATTGTTTTCAAAACAGGCAGGTGGAGTACACAGCTATAATCTACTATTTATCTGGGATCCATGTGGACCTCATACTATCACTGACCATCACTGTACATACATATTGCCGTATAGCATACCAAACAAATTTCTAAAAGGCTGTTGTAGAGGATAATCCATCAAAGTAGTACATAAAAACATAAATGATGGTTTCATATCTTCCAGGATATTCTTCAGTTTCTAAAATAAGGCTCTCTGTAACAAGATCTACTAAACAATGTAAAACTTCCTGCATTTTTTTACCTTAGAGCTTTATATATGTTTTAAACTCCCTCTGTGTGTTAAGCTGTGTAACATTTAATGTGGTTTTAAATTTATTAGTAAAATAATTTTAATAAAATGATCTCCTGTTCTTTTCACAAGAATACCAAAATGGAAATATTTGTAAAAAACTTTCTTATAAAGTGTGATATTTTTCTATAATACATTTATTCATGTGTTTGTTAACAGGTAATGGGCTTTTATTTGCATTTTTTACCTGAGATTTATGTAAATTATTCTTAAATGTAAGTTTTCTGTTTTTCCAACATACAATTTCTTACAACAAATACAGAATAATACATAAATCACATGTGAATTACAAGTAAATCTAGAGTTTATGAAAAATATTTTCTGCCCAGTAAATGTATGTAATATAATCTTTTCCTACAAATATAAAAGTTTGGTATATTGCAGGGAAAAATACCTTCATCAGACTCCTATGCTTTGTTTTTCTGATTTAAGATAGCATATAAACTTTTGGGTTGTCTTCCTGATAATATGATTTATTTTCAAACTTACCTTTTAAAGTTTTATCATTTTGGATATCATTAATATTAATTTTAACTCCAGGGTAATATATTATTGTGAAAGAAATAATTTGTTCTTCTTTTATGTTATCTTTATGATTATTGTTAATTTCCTTTTTAATCTTAGCTAACGTAAAACCTCTTTCTCTTACATTTTCTGGATAATGACACTTCCTAAGGTAAGATTTTAATTCTATTAATGTTTGTTGTTGAACTTCTGGGTTAGAAAAAATACTTTGAACTAGGCAAAGTGGAATATTTAATTTGGTATTTATAGGACAGTTACAATAGAAATCTCATGTATAATTCATGTATTAAAAAATGATAAGCCTGAATTCCTCATTTCAAAAGTAAACTTTATGTTAGGGTTGATTTGATTCAAGTTTTCAAAAAGTATTCCAAAATCAAGGGATCTATTCCATAATAGAAAACTATCATCTAGAAACCTTTTTCCAATTTTGCTTCAAGTAATCAATATAACTATCTTCCAAGTAGTATAATAATCTATTGGACATTTGAATTTCAAAATATTCCATCACTAAAATGGCATAAGATGGAACCACTTTTGTTCCCAGTAATGTTCCAGATATTTGTTAATATACATTGCCTTTATAAACAAAGTAACAATTACCTAAAATAAGATTTAAAAATTTAAATATCACTTCTTTATTAAAAGGTGGATGTAATAAATCTGGCTATCTATCTAAATAATATTCATTAGCTTTTATATACAATATTCATATTTGATACTTGGATAAATAAAAACTACATGTAATGATATTAAACTAATATTTTTTACAATTTTCTCTTGTAAAATAAAACCTTGTACCTTGGATGCAAATGGTTTTAGAATTATGTCCATACTAGACCTCAATGGTTTAATCACCATGTTTATTCCACTTATAATTGGTCTTCCAGAGATTTTTTGTGGGTTCTTTATCCAAAGATATTCCACCTTCTTTTTTTCTAAAATTTCTTTATCTTTTTTACTTTTATAAATTTTGGGTAATAAACAAAATATTCCTAATTTATGATTACTCAACAAATAATTGTTTTCTTTTAAATTCTTTTATACATTCTTTAATTTTTCCTTTTACTTTAGTTACAAATCTTGGAACATATTTGGAGGACATATATTTATTAGTTTCTTTATCATTTAACTATTTTAAAACCATATTCCATGATAACAAAAACTATCACTTTTTGTATGAAAACCTCTTCCATATTTTTATTTTGTTAATGCATTTCTTTCTTTTATTGAAACACTCTCTTTAATCTGAAGAATCTTATAACACACATATTCTAGACAACTACAAATTATATCATGTTATAAATTCCTTCCTTTTGAAAGGAAAAATTACAAAATTACTTTTTATTTGTTTCAAGGATCTATCATTATCACTTTTATTCTTAAAAATTCTGTTAATCTTAATTTCCTATTAAATTCATGTATATTATCTTTAATTTTAAATTAATATGGTTTAGATTTAATATGGGAATAAGTAATCAGAGAATTTAAGTTTACGTGAGGTAAGCACTTAAGTAGAGCACTTTTACAGGATTCACCAAGTACAATGTTAATAAAGTTCAAAATCTCCTTGTTACTGCCTATACTGTTGGTATTTTTATCTGGAATTAATTTATTCACTTTAACATTTTGCTTGTGTTTCAGATGGGTTGCAGTTTTGGTGTTAAAGTTGTTAATCAGGTTAAGAAGATGGTTGTAGTTGATCCATGATATGTTATTTTTTAGTTCATGTTGAGTGGTAGACTGTTTCTTTTGTCTGAATTTAACTTCAGTTCTCCTTCCAAAAGATGACATTAACATGAGAAATAGGCAAGAGATTTCTGCAAATAACAGTTTGTAGTTTTACAGTAGAGGAATTTGGTTATTTTTAACTTTAGTGATGTTATACCTAATGAACCCTGTAGAAGTGCCCCAGTTAAGGGGCTAAAGTTTTGCGTACATCCCCAAATTTAAATTCTCTGATTACCTGTTCCCCTTTGAGTACATTTGGTTTATTATTTGGGGTAAAGTTAAGTCCTCTGTTTAAAAGTTCCATTTCCCCCTCCTAAGAAAGATTGTAAACTCAAATTCCACATTTTCAAGGCCTTTACTCAGGAAAATGTTTTTCTTTATTTATCTTCTATTATTATTTTATACATATATATATGTATTTACTTTCATTTATCAAGTTCCCATTTTTTACCTGTCTTTTTCTTCTGTTGCTATTGTCTTTTCTTGTATTAGACTTCCATCTCCTTTCATTTTCATTATCTTCATATTTTCCAAAAGCTAAAATGTCATTCTTCTCATGTTTTCTTTGGTTTTTATTGATTTTATTCCTTCTATTTTCTTCTTCAAATTCCCTTGATTTCTTTGAATGTTTGAAATTATGCACTCTTCCTCTTTCTTTAAGGTAAAAAAACACAAGAAGTTTTACATTGTTTAGTAGGTCTTGTTAGAGAGAGCCATATTTTAGAAACTGAAGAGTAATCTGGAAGATAGAAAACTGGTATTTATGCTTTTATGTGTATGTGTTTTTAAATATTTGTTTTAAATAAGCAGTAATAGTTTTTCAAGATGTTTTTTATATTGTTTCATTTTCATACGTACACACGTGCACACACACACACACGCACGTATATATATACTTGAAACTTTTCATACTTAATGAAACTCCATAATTACAAAATTGAGGAAGAACAAGACCATTGTATGTTTCACAAATACATCATTTGTTCATGACCATGGTTTTGCCAGTAAAGGCATCATCAGGTACAGACTAAAATGTTTTAAAACAGGTTTATATATGTTTAAACAGAGAACTGGAAGTGGCCTTGACATTCACCTTGAGACAAGTGGGGTAAAAAGTGGGAAGAGGAGCTTAAGCTGGTTTGGTCATTTAGAACTTTTCTGGATTTGTTTTGAGATGTTTTAATGGTGAATCTGATTTTGTAACAAACAATATGTTCTGTAAAGCCATTCAAACTTCTTCCGAAAACTATTCTAAAAATGGAAATGATGAGGACAAGCTGATAAAATCAATAAAATCTAAAATTATCATGGTAAAACCAATGATTTCCTTGATTCTAACAGTTTCACACTCCTAAACATATACCCCACCAAAACCTTTAACAACAATGTTAAATCTTTGTTGAAAAACAGCAAAAGCCTATTTAATGTACTCCAAGCTAAGTCATTAAGCATTATGAACCCTAAACCACCATGTCTGTATGGACTTCTTAAACTACACAAAACAAATATTTCTATCAGACCTGTTGTTTCCCATACTAATGCTCTTGCTTACAAACTAGCACAGAAAGTTCAAAATATTTTCTAAAATCTAACTGGTTTTAAATCTAAGTTTGGTATAAAAATTCTCTGGAGCTTGTAAAAAAAAAAAAATGTAGAGATACCAAATAATGCTCAGATTGTTTCCTTTGATATTTGCAGTCTTTTTACAAGTACACCTGCTAATGAATGTAAATGAATTAAAGTGATTTAATGGATAAAGAAAAAGTAAACCCTGTTCAAGTCCAGGAATTAAAAACAATAGTAACCACTTGCTTAGATCAGAACTACTTCAAATTTAATGGCCAAATATATAAATGGAATGACAGGTTATATGTGGATTCCACTCCTCTCTCCTTTGCTTGCAGAAGTTTTTATGGATAATTTAAAGAAGAAATTGTTTACTGATGAAAATAATACAAAACATGTTAAATATTGGTACAGATATTTTGATGATGTGATTTGTTCTGGACAGGATCCAAACGTCAACTCAACAGTTTTATAGCTTTTCTAAGTTCACAAATTTATTAGATTTACCATGGAATTTGGTGAAAATGGGACATGAATTTTTTGGACTTAAATATTAACATAAATAACAGCATACATTCTTTCAAGATCTTCAGAAAACTGACTTGTAGTGACACCATCATACATTCTTCTTCAAGAAATCCAATATCTCACAAACTTGCTGTGTTCCATAGTTTCTTGCACAGGCTTATCACTGTACCTTTGTCATCTGAAGATTATGAAACTTAATTTAAAACTATAAATAAAATTACTGTTAACAATGGTTATACAACAAAGTTAGTTAAAACATTGTTGTTTACAAAATTGAAAAGCCATAAATTTAAAATCAACATACCCATATACTGTACCAAACAAAAAGAAATGGTTTAAGATGATCTACATTGTAAAACTTTGTCACAAAATATATAACACACTGAACAAAGAAATCTACAGACCGGCCTACTACTGTAAAAACAACCTAGAAAAAATGTTGTGCAACAACAAAGACAGAATCAAAAAGTACAGCAACAGTGGTGTATAACAGTTAACGTGTCAAGAATGCAAAAGTGTATACATAGGTAAAACAGGACGTTCCATAGAAACAAGAATTGTAGAACATTCTAGAAGCTGGAAATTAAGAAAAATGGGTCAACCCTTGCATCACACATTATTAAAACTAAACACCAATTTGATTAAAAAAAAACTAAAATTTTACATATCTGTGAAAAAAGGTAAAAAACTAGATAGCCTGGGAATTTTAGAAATAAGTAAAAGTCTTAAAAAGAAATTCAGAAAAATTTCTAAACAACCAAACCAACTTAAACTCCTCCCCACTTTTTACCTCATTAGTTTCTAGGTGAATCTCAAGGCCACTTCCAGTTCTTTGTTTAAACATAAATATTCCTGGTACAAAACATTTTAGTATGTGAATGATGATGCCTCTACTGGTGAAACCAATTTTATGTATTATGTATGTATGTGTATATATATTATTTGTCCATTTAAACAGTTACTTAGGCCAAAATGGCCTAATGCAAGCAAAGCATAACAAAACAGCAAAATGATTAACTAAGCCTACCTCATCTTGTTTCTCCCAAAAAAATATTCCCTTTCATACTTAAACATCATAATTCAAATAAAGTGTGAAATTACAAAGCAAGCTTTAGAAAAAATTAGGATTATAATTTTAGCAGAAGTTGTTGTTCACAAACACCTTTATTCTAACAACATTTCACAAATCTTAATCTGTTATCACATTGTTCTGACCTCCATATAAATCTCTGTTTAACTGAAAACCTTATCAGCTTTTACAATTCAAGAAAGTCACAGGCACTAATGATTTCATTAGAAATGAGCTGAAAGTAATGCAAAATATAAAAAAAATCATTTATGTGAAATTGTTTGTCGTATGTCCTGAATTTAGTTTTCCTCCTTCAGTCAGCATTGAAAACTTTAGAAAATAATAAAAGCAAAATATGGGATTTTTTTCAATTTTTGGTATAAAAAATTTTAGTTGAATGATTTTTAAATCTGAAGTTTAATTTTCTTCTTCAATGATGCAATTTTGTTCTTGAGGTGTATTGCACCCAACTGGGTATGAAATAGTTGAGTAACTTTCGATTTTAAGTAATTTATCTAAGAAATTGTTTTTGTAGAAACTTATATGTAATGATAAATAAAAAATAAAAACATAATGTAAAAAGAATGTTTATTATTTTTACTTTTTAAAGGGGTTTATGTTTATAGGATGTAAAAAGTTGATTCATAAACATTTTAACTTTATTAAGTATAGGGAATGAGGAAGAACATTTCATAATGGAATGATTGTGTGCAGTTTTGGAATCACACAATGTTTGGACAGTTGTTCTCCAATTGAGTTGAAAATATTAAATTTCTCATCAAATTATAAATCTAGCTTGCTTGCACAGTATTGGATTTCAAGAGAAACAGATATACTGCATTTGTATAAATGCACAAAAGTAATCAGAAAACTGTTTGAAAGAAATAATAGATGATTAGCTTTTAAGTTTCCTGAAACAGTATGTGCATTTTTCCTTTGATAATTATATTTCATCCACATCCAAAGCACGTTCTATTCTCCCTTTTTTCTTCTTTGTACCTATCCAGTTGACTTTCCTGATTGTTGTCTGTAGTTGTTTTCCTTGGATTTTTGTTTACCTGTCCTTTTAAATTCTCTGAATATGAACTTTTATGGTTTCTGCCTGAATTTTTTGTTTTATTATTATTTTATTGTTTTATGGTTCTTGAACACTTCATCATCTATTCTTACTTTGAATTGAGTTTATTAAGCTGAATTTTGTATCTTGCAAGTTTACCACAATTATCCTAGTGAATATTATGGACAGTTTGCCTTTCCTCTAATTGTGGTTCTGTTCTGGCAATAGAACCTATAGCTCTCTCTGTTCTTCTGGCGAGTTAGATTTTATTTTAAATGCATGCTAAGCATGTGTGTTTTCTGTTTCCCTGAACCTTTCAGTGTTCCAAATGAGGGTTTTCTTCAAGCATTTCTGAATTGTAAGAGACTAATCAGCTTGCTGAAGTCATGGTTGTATTTGCTTTATACCTCAAGGGCATGGCAGATATGATGCTATTTTATTGCATACTCTTTTTTTTCATCTTTTTTGGTTTGTTTGTTTGTTCTTCCTTTCATTTTAGTGCATGAAGGTTTGTTGGAAGAATATTGCAAGACTTTCCTTTTCTCCCAGTATATATAATCTGTTCTGGTCATTTTATTCTCTGAATTAAACTATTTCTACAAAGCTTTTTTGGCTATTTCATATGAACAACCTGCAAGAGGACTGCTTTCTTTGAAGTGTATTTATTTTGCTTCCTAAGTGAATAAGTAAAATCTTTAGGCCTGAAAAGTCTTGTATAGTTAGTATTTTATATCTTTCTATCAATTTATAATTATGTTAAAGATAAATGATGAAGAATCAGCATAAACAATTGCTTTTTCAGTTATTTTACTTTTCCTGATACCAGTATCCTTATATATGTTCCACCATCCTTGTGATGCACTTCCTTATAAACTCATGGTATTCAAATTACATTACTCTTCAAGTTGCATCACGTTTACTTAGGCACTTGTACATGCATAAGTATTACAGAATGCCAAAAAAATTAATCTTTTTCTTAAACACGTAATTCACTAACAAGTTTAGTTATCTAATATACATATAAGTAACTCATAAGAGACCAAGGGGAGGTTTTTAGAACTTTCTACCTGTCATTCCTTTTAGGTATTTATTTTTAATAAGTTTAATATATTTTGCATTGTTTATATTTTCTACAGTAGTTCATAATTTTGTAAGTAAAATTTTTGTGACTATATAAATTCTGTTTGAAATATCTATAAATGATTTTTACTTATGTTAAGAAATAATAATAATACTTTCAATAGTAGCAGGGATTGAAATATTATGTTCCTGCATTCCAGAGGAATTTAACTTTGCTTGAGGAATTTCATATTTTTAGTTGACTTTCCCAATCAGGAATGCATGGTCCAACTGTATTCCTTTAGTTATGACCAATGAAAGTGAACATATTGCATAGATTAAATAAAAAAAAACAATTTATGAGGAAATGCAGCTTTACACAAGAGAATGTAATCTTCATGATAGCTTTCCCTGGAGTGAATATAATTTTATTTCATTATTTCTGTCCTTGAGTTGTCCTGAATAGGTAAACAAAAATCTTCTACAAGTACTTAAGCACAGAACTGATATAGTTACAAGAATACACACTTTGAAAAATAAAATTAGTAATTATACGATATCCATGTATTATTACATGTTTCTTAAAAAAGATTAGATCTTCCCATTGTTAAATAGTGTTTAAGGGTATATTGGTTTTTCACTGCCATGTCTATACATAAACAACTCTCCCAGCACTGGATTTATGTTTAGATATGCAATATAAAACAAATAGACACATTTTAATATTTCAATACTTATCTTAAACTTGAAACTAGTAAACTTTGGAAAGTTTGAAGGGGAATACCCTTTCCTTATGGTGTTACAAAATTCCAAACTTGCATGACAGTGCTGTGTGTGCTAGTGGCATTCAAAGAATTAAACTTAACATTTCTGACTAGTATTTAAGTTCACTTGCACATTGTTTTTACATTTGACACAGCAAAAATGTAGAGTAGCTTTAGCTGTATCAACATGCATATGCAGTCAAAGTTTAACTATTATATGCATTCTCATCAAACAAGTCATGATTCTCCATACCTAGAAACCATTTGGAGGTTTATCTCAGAATTGTTTATTAAGAAGTGGATACTAAAAAACAAAGCAAGAGCTTGGCAAGTTCATAAATTAAGTACCTGCAACATCTGAATATAAACCCACATAAGTCTACAAGTACAGTATTTTTTTTGTGATGTTAATATATTTCACTAATTAAGAAAATATAAAATATAATTTTATGAGGTGTTACAAAATGACTGTTCTTCTCTATTTTTATCACTTGGTAATAAATAAAAAATTAACTGCAGCATTACTCCTTTGATTTGATTTCACAGGGGCAGTTGCTGGTGTTATAGACATTGGAACACAGTGGATGAAAGACCTGAAAGAAGGAGTCTGCCCACAAGCTTTCTGGCTCAACCAAGAACAATGTTGCTGGTCTTCAAATGATACCTTTAATGAAGGTGACCACTGTGCTCAGGTTGGGTATTTTTTTTTTTCAGTATTTTAATTTATATATATATAAGTGCAAACCTTTTTTCAGGGCTTAATAAAGATAACTTAAATTTGCCAGGTATTCTTGGAAAAACTGGTTTCCTCTTAAAGATGCTCTTATTATTAAACTTAATTCATGCTTGGTATAAATACTGCATTTATAGTCTATTGGGCAATTTATAAAAGTGAAAATTAAAATTACTATGAAAAAAATTAAAAGAAATTCAAGTTACTGTAGTATGGGATTCTTTACCCACACTCTTTGAAATTCAACAATGTTTATATAAAATCTGTGAAGAAAGTTTGAAAGCTCTGATACACACAGCTTTACATACAATCCCAGTTGTACATGTGCATGTAAAAGTGCATTGTCTGTCATGGTTATTTATGTCTGTTGATTTACAATATCGTAAGTTAACTATTGACATTTGTTACTATAAAAGGGAAGAAGGAACAAAGCAAGTTTCATTATTTGTATTATAATACTACAATGTATCTCTATAGAAATACATTTATAGAGTTTGAGTTATTCAAAGTTAAGCAGCATTGACATAGTAGAGTTGGAATATTTTATTGACAACTTCATATAGTTTTTTGGTTAGAATTAATTTCAAACTTTTTATGGGGGGGGGGGATGGAGGCTTCTTCAGGATCAAGAATGTTTCAACACAAATATCAAAACATTCACAAGCCATCCTAAGAAACTCCCATCCTACTGCATGTGTGATTTTACGTATATTTGGTTTAATCTTTAATCACGATATAGCCAAACTATTGTATGTGTTATTTCTGTCTCCTTGTCAGATTTCTTAGCAAAGATAATTTTCAAATGTGAAATTCTTAGCATGATAATAAGTTAGAACACAAAAATGCAAAACCCTGTAAATCAAGCACTTTCAAAATGTGGACCTGTCTTCATCAAGTCCACCTATTGAAAAGTGCTTGAGCTATAGGGTTTTATATTTTTGTTTTAAATTGATTTTTTGAACCTGTGTGTTTTCCTAACATCGTGAATATAACTAAGAAAATACATATTTCATGCATACATACATGTATTAGTATTATTCAAAATTACCAAAATAAACTGAATTACCTTACATATAAATATAATTATTTCAGAAAGAGAGTATTCTAGTGTGTGGTGGCTTGGTGCTAGTATAAAAAGTAACACAAGTTAAACAAGAATAAATACTCTATGAACACGTCATTTTTTATGTCCACAGATATTTAAAAACATTTCTATTTACCAAATAGAGATTCTTTGCTGAGCATGCAGTAGTTAGCTCAGTGAGAAGAATTTAAATCCTAATTTTACTTTACCAACTAGAATTAAGTTCAAAGGCATATGTTTTGTGTCCACTAAGAGTAATAATTTTAACCAGGTTCACCAGTGACAGTTTTAACATTGTTTTAGACTAATTACTTTTGTGCATTTTGTGACATCTTGACTATCACTTAAGCCATTGGTTATGGCTTGAAGAAATCAGACAATTGATATTGTCAGTAATATCCTCCAGTACAGATAGTATATGACTGAAAATAGAATTTGTGTTTATATCTGTGTTAAGGGAATAATGATAATTTCCAATATAAAATGCCTTTTGGAACAAATGTATATTAAGTACTATTTACTTTATTTCGACGTGTATGTAAACTTTTTAAGGTAAACTTCTTACGTATGGCACTGAAATGCTTTGATTAAGACTGAACTTTAATGTGCATCTGATACTTTACAATTTTAGGGCATTTCTTTTTGAAATAGATGGCTAATTTGTGTGACTTCAAAAAATTGATTTTAGATTTCATTTTTCTTTCTTTTTATCTTTCTAAAGCAATTTCTGAAATATTATCTAGATGTACCTTATAACACTAAATACATAGATCTTGTGATCATATTTTTTCTAATTTTCTATGTGTTCTTTTAAAATGTTTTGTTTAAGATAAAGTTAATATAGTTCATTCTTCATATGATACACAAACATTCATTAGAAATCTTGTGAATAACTTAGCTGTAAGTACAAGTGTAAATGATATCTTCAGAACAGCACAAAGTAGTTTTGTGTTTTTACATTTTTTTTTGCTTCCATATCAGCTACCCTCAACTAGTTGTTTTAAACATTTGTACAGCATATGACAATATGTATGTGGGGATTGAGACAATAAGATCTTTCTATATTTACTTATTTCAATAGCTGGAATCTGAAAATAGCTCACTTACAGAAGATAATGGCCACTCATATTTTTAAGAATTTTATTTTTATCCTCCAGGAATTATAAATTACATCTTAATTCTTTAATTGGCATTTTTTCTATTACTTTTCTTCATTTTCTGTGTGTGTGTGTGTGAGAAAGAGAATGAGTATTTGATAATGTGACAAAATATAACCATAAACAGTATTTTAAAATCATACCCTTAGATGATATTTAAGATCATCTCTGTTGTCTTAGTACAATAATGAATTATTATATATAGTAGAAATATCTGTATTAAAATGTGTAAAAGCAAGTTGTCACTTTCCACTTGGTCCTACCATGTAAAGTTGTTTATGATTGTATGGCTAATACATGAAAAGTTAAATAGCTGGTGTAAAATAGTTCACATAGATATTAATTTTATGAAATTCTTCAGCAATCTAACACACATTCCTCTCAATAAGGTCACAATAGAAGTCTTTTACATTCTCACGTATTAATGTCATTGAAAATCTGTAATTAGTCATAAGCAAACACTAATAGTAAAGGTAAAACTATTTAAATAGTGTTCTTTGTAAAATGTATGAAGAACTACAAAAAATACACCAGAAGAGAAATTTTAACTTATCTAGATGTTTGAAAAAAATCAATAATTTCAGATTTTTAGTTGATTTGTGTAAATACAGACTGAATAAGACTTCTGTTTTTGTTGGAAGTATTTCAGTGACAAAAATTATATAGTTCAACATGTTTGTTTAGTCATTGTATTACAAATTAATAAAACTGCATTAATATTAAATAAATAAGATAATGACATGTAGAATAATTTATTTTTTATCTATTATGGCTGAAAAAAGTACATGAACTCTTGCAAGTGAAAATTTTAAATTTATGCATTGTGCCGTTAACTGTATGATACATAAAAGCAAATATAATAAGAGCACAGAATCTTTTTCTCCTTTTTTCATTAGTTATTAAATTACATGTATCTGTATTATGTATAAAGCCAACGTAGTATTCTGTTGCATTGATGAATCTAAAATATACCAAGGTGTAATGGAGGAAAGTTTTGTGATCTATATTAACACCTACTAAGTGTGATTTAGTAAATATATCCTTCATGAAGAAAATGAAAAATTACATGGCAATATGTTTCAGAATAAAAAGCACATCCATAAATTTTGCTGTATTGGAGTATCACTGATATACAATGAAATTAATACTTGCATTTAGGCCTAATGCTGTGACCTTTAATAATATTATTAGGTTTTTCTGTTGAGTAATTAGAATTGAAATTTAAAGACCTAAAAATCATTAAGTAATGTAAAATTGAATCACTTTAGGCAAAATGGTGATACTTCATAGCAATGAAGATATTCATTCTATTACTAAAATTATTTGGTATTTTAATACTAATATTTTTGTTACCGAAGGAAAAAATCTGGATTCACATGGAGTTCATGTTTAATCTGTTCTAAAATAAATTGGTTATAACTTGTACTTTGTGGTATTTCAGTGTTTTGCATTTCTCATTCTTAGTAATGAATCTCTTTATTATGGCAATAGACACAGGGTTAACTTACCTGAACATTCAACTTAGATTTATATGAAGTTTCATATCTATGAATATACGTTTAACTATTGACTTAATTAACAACACTCCTCAATGGCAGCAGGAGCACAACCAGTGCACATTGAAATCTATGAATTTCAATCTTAGAGCAGAAAATGTGAATGAAACTTAGGTTCAAACTCAGTAACAAAAGATTATGTACAATAAACAGGCTATAAAGTACCCTTTATTTTATTTCTATTTATACTTGGGTTATGAAACGTGTATATAAGTTAATTCCTTGTTGACTAAAGTGGAACACAGAACACTTAACTTCAGGAATGTGTGTTTGTATAAGGCAACTTTTTGATTATACTAGTCAATGACAGGAATGTAAAACAGTTCATCTGCAGGCATGCCTGTATATTTAAAATTGCATAGAGATTAAGAAATATTTTAAAGTTTATGAGGAAATTCAATGTATGAAAACACTGATTTGATTTTCTTGGAATAATAAGAATGAAATTATAAAGATCAAGAAACATAGGATTATAATAATAATGAACAGGTAAGAGAGCTTCCTAAATTAATAATCTTTTAGTTAAAATATATTAATACTGAATCATTTTGTTTATTTAGTTTTGGATTTTCATACTTAAGTTGTTAGATTTCAAGTTTTCCTGATGATGATGTTGAAAAGTGAAGCAAAATATCTTCATTTTTTTAGTAATAGATAGTTGTGGTTTAAATGGTATACTACATTTATATGGTTAAATGTTCTCCATTTATAGATGGAAATCCATCAAAGTGGTTTTTGCATTTTATTGCTTATACTGTTCTAATCTTTATATGTCTTAACTTACAACCATTTTCATTTGTACAAGAAAAGGGTCAGAATTGGTTAATTCAGTGATATGTTTTTTATGTGCAACTGATGTTTTAAAACATTAATTGGGCATTCATATAAAAGATTGAGTGTTAGCATTTAAAAATGTAACTAGCCTTGTGCAATTGGTCCATCTGGCAACATGACAAGTTAACAAGTGATTTCTTTTTCCAAAGTCAAGTTAAATTTGATGTTGAAAGTTGTTCAAAATGGCTTAGAATGCATTTGATAATACATACAACTGACAGCCTTCAAACCCATGCTCCAATAGATTTGTTTCAGTCAAAATGATCATCAGACACTTTTGCCCATGCTTTTATTAATTGATTTAACCATTCATGAAAAACCACGACGATAGATAAAGTATAGGTGGAACTAAGTTTAAACTTGCGGGAATGTCAGTCTAATCATTTTGGTAAATGTTACCATGAAGTAAAAAATTTAACTGCTTCTAGTATGTTACTATCCATTGATGTAAAAAAATATATATACAAAATATAATGTGATCAAATTTATGATTTTTAGGTTAACACACTAAAAAATTTACACAAAAGTAAGTTTTTTATTCTTAGGATTAGGCAATTAGCAAAATTGAATACAATTCATAAGTATCAGTATTAATAAGAATTGGTGTGATTTGATTTTAAGCTTTGTCATTTTATGGCATTTACAATGTATTACAGTGTGATTTGAAACTGTTATCTTTCTTTTCATTCATTGAATATATTTGTAGATTTTTTCTTTTGTCATGTAGATCCATTAATTCTTTAAATTTCACAAATCATTCCAAACAGTTATATTTTTTTATTGGGAAACTATACTTTTATTTAAAATATCAACACTTGTTCTGTTAAAAAAAAAATGTGAATAAATACTCTTTATCTGTACTACTTAAAATTTAAATCTTAAAATAACATTATATTAGAAACTGGCATTACTTCAAGTCAATCATTTTTGCTCCTTAAAAGCTTTCAAAAGCTATTTTGATTTCAGATTTACATGTAATAAATAAATAAATTTGTTTTGGATTACTCCTCACATATGTTTTTGACTAACAAAGTAGTTTTCTATATAATTTTTTTTTTTCAGTGGTATACCTGGGCAGAACTTTTTGGACATTTTAGAGACGATGCGTGGGCCTTCATAATTTCTTATATTCTGTATGTGATGTGGAGCCTTGTGTTTGCTGGTCTAGCTGTATTACTTGTTAGAACCTTTGCACCATATGCTTGTGGTTCAGGTATTCCTGAGGTATTTATCTTGCTTTTTAAAATCTTTGCTTGTTATCTATACCTAGAATATCATAAGTACTTTAATTTTTTTTCTCAAGTTGATTCTGTATTTTTTATAGCATTTTTTTGTTATTTAAGAATAACTGAGAGTTATTTATGAGAATGCATTTTTCCACAAGAGATATACTGTACATGTATTTAGATTACCATTATCTATTTTAAACAATTGTTAATTTGAAAAGATTGTGGTGAATCTGAGTATATTTTGATAACATTGACAATTTTGATGATTTTTGAGATAATTTGGTAAAATGTATCTATCAGATATTGATAACTTGGAATGATTCTTCCCTTTTTTTATTGTGTGTAGTTTTACCACTTAAAGTTGAAAACAGTCAAATAAATAGCTGATATTTTTTTTCCATCATTAAAACAAAATTATTTTAAATTGGAAAGTAATTGAGAAAACAAAACAAAAGTCGTTCAGTGGTTTTGATGATGAATATAGTTATAAGAAGTACAAGTGAAATTATCAGTGCATCTTTACATTTTAAATATTATTTCAGCCTTCCATACTTTGAGATGGAATTTTTTTGCTGTAAATATTCAGGTTGTTTCTAACATTTCTTTAACAGATAAAAACTATCCTTAGTGGATTCATCATTCGTGGCTATTTAGGTAAATGGACACTGGTCATTAAATCTATTGGAATGATATTGGCTGTATCATCAGGACTTAGTCTTGGAAAAGAAGGTCCACTTGTACATGTGTCCTGCTGTATAGGAAATATTTTTTCCTATCTTTTTCCTAAATATGGAAAGAATGAAGCCAAAAAGAGAGAAGTAAGAAATAATCAGTTTTTATTTTACTTTTATTAATACTGCTGTCATACGATTAATTATTGAAAAATAGAAGATTGTGCTGGAAATTTAAGAATAAGGAAAATTCTAAATTATATTGATTTTTATCAACACTGCTTTCTTTCAGTTGCTCAATTTTTTATTTTATTACTTATAAACAATTTGTGTTTTATATTAATAAGAAACGACATTAACAACTTGTGATATGTGTACCTATCATAATTTTACAAGGCCAAAAAATACCCAGTATTCAAGAAACTTGACCAAACCTAATTTTTTTTTTGGCAGCCTTAATTGTCATGCTACTTTACCTCATCTGCTTTTAAGGTTCTTTATTTTCACTGATGTTAACAATAAGTTTTGAAGTAGTTGCATAAGGCAGTTAATGGCTTCAATGTAATATTTGTGATCAAAATGGTTTTATGCCATAGATGTGTTTTTCTTCTTTTTTTTTCACATTCTGTACCATTTTAGAAAATATTTTATATACCACCATGTCGTCTTTTGTTCGTTATTAATACATGAGTTGAGCTGTATTTGTTTATCTTTTATTGTGCCACCAGGTTGCTTTTAGTTCAATGTTATTTCTCAAATCAGCTGGACTGTATTTTTCAAGAGCAAAAGTTGCCTTTAGCTCAATGTTAGTTCTTGCATCAGCTGAGCTGTATCTTTTATGTGACACATAGTTCCTTTTGTTCAGTATTAGTACTGACATCAACCATTCTTTGTCTATTTATCCTTCATGTGTCACCAGGTTGTCTTTTGTTTAAGACTAGTACTCATTTCAGCAGGGCTACATGTACAGTCCCAGACAAAAGTATTGATACCCTATGATTATTATACCGTAAGTCTACGTAAGAGATTAAGGATAAGCATTTAGTCAACTTTAACCAATTTTAATAAAACAAAAATGCAAAATGCACACTATATAGAAATTTAACAAATAATTTATTTAAAGTATACACTTAGGACAAAAGTATTGGCACCCTTGCTTTAATATTTTGTATGTACTTCTGCTTTTATTACAGCTTTCAGGCATTTGTGATAATTCTCAACCATTGCATTACATCTTGTTAAAAAATATGGGCCAATTCTATTCTACATATTTCCTTCAGCTCCAAAAGATGGACACACGATGCTTGGCTACAGTACTTTTTAGATCAATTCAAAGCATTTCTACTGGCTTGAGATCTGGTGATTGCAAAGGCCATTCCATAACCTTTATCTTCAGTTTATTCAAAATTTCAGAGATGACTTAACCATAAACATTCTGCAAATGAGCAGAAGGAATCATTGTACTTCATAGAATATTTAACTATAGGTAGGCACAAGAGATAAAAATGCTCTTAATTGAATGCTTTCCATTTTTTTTTTTCCAAACATGCTATTTTTTGTCTTGTCAAACTAGAGAATTTTTTGGAAGAATGCTTCAGATTTTCTTTGTATTTCTTAGTGACTTTTAAATGATTTGTTTAACTGATTTTTTTCCAAAGTGGTTTGAAACAAGGTATATGTGCATACAACACTTCTTTGTTCAGGTGTCTTGTACTATTATTTCATGCACTATTATACTTGATGCTCCTAAATCATTCTTTAAGTATTTGGGTGATAATCTTGTAATCTTGGATTTATTTTGGCAACTCAGACAAACCTTCTCCCTGCTTCACTCATAGTTTTCTTTGGATGTTCATTTCTTTCAAGCATTTCAGTTGAATTTATTCTGTGATATTTCTTGACTTTTGCTCTGATTGTAAATTTTGGTACTCTGTATTTATTTGATACTGCTCTACAGCCATTAACTTTGTTGTAGACTATTGCAAGTGATTTTCTGAACTATAAATCCAACTTATTTGTCTTGGTCATCATCTGCTTTGTTGTTACAAATTTTTTCTTCAACAGATGTAGGCAGTCATTACTTCTTTTCTGCTTATTGACTTTATAATGTACTTGTTTTCAATCATTTCATATATTTTTTAATTAGTTCCGTTGAGGTTTTGCAGACATTAGATGAAAGGTGCCAATACTTTTGTCATGAACAAATATTTAAAATTGCTTAAATTCCTTTCATTTTTTTTTATAAAAGTTGTTTGTTAAATTAAAAGAAAGTGTGTATTTTGGATTTTATCATATTAAGTATGGGGAAATGCTCACTAATTGCTTGTATTTCATGTTTCCTTGAATTGTTTTGTTTGAATGTATGGTACAAATATTTTTATCTGTGACTGTATCTATCTTTTATGTACCATCAGGATTCTCTTTATTCAGTAATAGAATTCACATCAGTTGGTCTGTATATATGTGTCTTGTATGTTCTACCATTTTATCTTTCGCTTGGTATTAGTGCTTACATTAGCCGGGTTGTATTTATGTATCTTTCATGTGCCACTAAATTACCTTTTGTTCAGTGTTAGTACTCACATTAACTGAGCTTTATGTATCTTTCATATACCACAACGATGCCTTTTATTTGGTATTAATACTCGCATCAGTTGAGCTATATTTATGTATCCCTTGTGTGTCATCAGGCTGCATTTTGTTCAGTATTATTACTCGCATCAACTGGGCTTAATGTATCTTTTATATACCACAAGGATGCCTTTTATTTAGTATTAATACTTGAATCAGTTATATTGAGCTATATTTATGTATCCCTTGTGTGTCATCAGGCTGCATTTTGTTCAGTATTATTACTCGCATCAGCTGGGCTTAATGTATCTTTTATATACCACAAGGATGCCTTTTATTTAGTATTAATACTTGAATCAGTTATATTGAGCTATATTTATGTATCCCTTGTGTGTCATCAGGCTGCATTTTGTTCAGTATTAGTACTCGCATCAACTGGGCTTAATGTATCTTTTATATACCACAAGGATGCCTTTTATTCAGTATTGATACTCGCATAAGTTGAGCTATATTTATGTATCCCTTGTATGTCATCAGGCTGCATTTTGTTCAGTATTAGTACTCTCATGAACTGTGCTTAATGTATTTTTTATATACCACAAGGATGCCTTTTATTCAGTATTAGTACCTGCATCAGTTAAACTGTGTTTATGTATCCCTGTAATTTGTTCAATATTAGTACGTGCAGTAGTTGGGCTCTGTCTATATGCAGTGCTGTTATATGTAGTGAAAGAAATTCAGTGTTATGTAGAGAAATTTTGAAACTAGTAATATAATGAAATTGATTAGGCCTAGTACTAATAATCACACATCAATGGAGATGTTTTTTGATATATTTTATTTAATTAGTTCTTTGCCTGTTTTTTTAATATTCAAACTTTTTTGTATCATATGATTTGTGTCAAGTTTTGTTAGATTAATCATACATCAATTCTGTCAATGTGTATGTTCTGTCCATAATTTCATGTGAATATCAATCAAAGATGTAATTTATTAACAAAAGGATTTTACAGTATGTCTACATCATCAGCAATCTTTTTTACTGTCTTTTTCAAATTGTTTTAAAATATTTCTATCAAGTTTTACATTACTAGATTAACTTATTTTTGTGAGTAATATTTTTAAGAATTAAGTATATACAGTATTTTAATACCTACAATATTTTTATTGTTTTTCATGATCTTATCAAAATATTATATTTTTATTTTCACCACAAAAATATTTTAATATAACCAGATTGTTATCCACCTGTGTATTCCTAAAAGTAGTGTGAACCTGACTTTGTCTGATAGTTAGCACATAAGACTGAAGATCTTAGGGTCTAAGGGTAGAGGTGTGCAATTTAGTTTATTAATCAATATAATCAATCATCTGTGAGCAGCAAGTGTCATGTAAACTGATTAATTACTCAAACCTTGTGTTTCTAGTTATTACTGTTTTCAATTATTCCAATAATGGATTAATCAAAATTATGATTAAATCATTTGCCACAAAAATTATAACTAATCAAAATTAATGTTTTTGATTACTCCAACAGTTGGTTAATCAGAAATCTAATTATATCAATTTTCACGAAAATAATCAACTAATTGAAATTAATGTTTCTGATTATTACTGTTTCCAGTTATTCCAGCTGTTGATTAAGCAAATTTATTATTGAATTGAATGTCATAAAATAACCAACTAACCAGGATTAGGGTTTTAACTATCCAATAGTTTTAACTATTTTAACTATCCAAGTTATCAGAACATTACTATTATGTTTGTTTGTTGTTAAGCAAAAAGCTTTCTAGTGGACTAACTGTGTTCTACCCAATTTCAGCCTTATAGCTGTTGCTTTTTGTTTTAATTTACCTCAAGTTTGTTCAGGTTCAGTAACTTGGGGAGGGGGGGGACTTCATAATTCAAGACTTGTGGGTTTGATTCCCATTGTCACCAAACTTGGTTGCTCTGACTTTGTTATGGCAAAGCTACTAAGGCTATCTGCCATTGCCACTAATTTTGAAGTGCTGACTAAAGGCAGATAGTTGGCAACACCCACCACCAACCTTTTTTGAATTTTATTTTGCTTGTGTGGACCTTGGTACAAGTAACACTGCACTTATAAATTAATGTGACCATTGATTAACTGATTAGCAAATACCACTAATTGTCCATCTCTGGTCTGGGACGTGCGAGACCACTCTACATATTCCACACTTTAAGTTTTGGACACATTATAAAAGCAACAGTCAATCCTGTTATTCATATCAAAATTCCAGACAAAACTGTTGTAACAGCTGGTGCCATTCAGATTGAAAATTCCAATTTATTCAACCAGTATTGCTTACTTGAATGGTAAGTACCATAAAAATATATAATTTTCACAATAAAACTGTAACTGGTTTATTAGGTTGTCCATATTAATGCAGTCTATGATCCTTTCAAGTCTAGTCTTTTTCTTATGTATAGTTCCAGTATTGGTTGATTTTCTACTACAATGCTTTTTCCAAACTAATTATGTATGTGTGTATATATATATGTTTATTTATCTGTATTAAATGATGGAATTATTTCTTATATAATGACAGATATTGTCAGCTGCATCTGCTGCAGGGGTCTCAGTGGCTTTTGGTGCTCCTATTGGTGGAGTTTTATTTAGTCTTGAAGAGGTATGGAAAATTAAAATGTAAATACATGAAAGTTATTTTCATAAAACTGTGATATTTGACTTTCTTTATGGTCAAGGTGTAATAGATATTGATCCAAAATATTCTTAATTTCAATGAAAATGTGCCAATTTTAATCACTTATTTTTTTTTCTGGGAAAACTTTCACAGGTTTCTTAAACTCAAGTGTGATTAATGGGTGTTTAAAGTATTTGTAAGCCTAACTTTTAAAATATCTGCATACACATTTTCTTCTATTTGAAGGTTTACATTTATAAATTTTCATAATTCATAAAAATTTGAAATGTCTGTTTGAGTTCTTGCAATATGTTTGACAAAAGTTACTGATACATAATCGGTTAAAATTAATTAGAAGTGTAAACTCTATATAGAAATTGGGAATAATTCATTAGAAAAGGAATTGTGAGTCAATTTCCCTTATATGTATGTAACAAATCAGCTAAGATGGATTTTCAAGATGCGTGTGCAGCTAGATTTTACTTTTACATATTTTGATCATTATTTACAACTGATGTGAATATTCATAATCATGCCTAGGTTATCAACTGGCAATAGCTGCAGCACTTGAACTTTGTTAAAGGCAGGATTAGAGTAAATTCATGTATGAGACCTTTGTTTCCCTTTTTATTAGCTATATTTTTGTGTGCCAGCAATACCAAGCACGGGGACATGCATATACCTGATTTGATTTTATTACTCATCAGGATCTCTAACAGCCTACCTGTCCTCAAATTGAAATTCTTTTAGACAGGATTAGAATAAATACATCAATTAAAAGGGATTGACCTCCTGAGTTGAAAACTGTAATTAGATTTCAAATTAATCAAGAGGTGACGGAACTATGAGCTAAAAGTTTGTACTTGAAGAAAAAGAAACTCGGAGCCATTCTATGAGCTGCTCATCTGCAGCTAAAAAAAATACCAGTGCTCTGTTATGGTAATTGACTAAAACACTAGAATCTAGTAGCTTTTTTAGCCAGCTAGTCATCATTAATGTTGAGCTGTTCAAATACATTTTTGTTGTCTGAAAAATATTTTAGTATGTTCTTTTAATTTTGTTAAAATTAGTTTTTATCCTACTCTGTACTATAACTAGCTTATGATTAACATGAGATATATATGTGGCAATATTTTGTAGCAATAAATACTGTAAGGGTAGTTTCACACTATATGTATGTAGTTTTTAGACAACCTGCTTGCTAGTTTGTATGTATGAATTGCATATACTTTTATGTTATAATTGAATAAGTATAGGAACATCTTATTGTTCCAAAAACAGTATAGGTTGTGTTTAGTGTAATAAATACTACTTAAAATACTGAAAGTATTGCTATTTCTCCTAGGTAACATGTTTTTAAGATTCAGTTTGAATTTTAGTTTACGTGTGTCCATTTATTAAAGTGGCACAATACTTTTTATTTCCATAAAAAAAAATAATAACTTAGTTTTTACAAACACTGATATTCTCTTAAAATTTACCAGTATGAGTTATTGAAGCTTGTAAGGTTTCACATGATTTAACAAGATGGTTGTTATTGCAAAAGTCTTTATATTAACAAACAAACTGTGTAGGGTAATAAGTAGAAAATATATTACTAGAAGGTTTATTCACAACTAGCAGTAAATAAAAACACTTTTAAACACATAAAAGAGGAATTACACGTTCAGTGACCAAAAGTCAGTACCAGAGTTAGTATTCAAGGCTTTCTTCATCATTTACCTTAATGCCAAATCCAATGTTTTGGGTGGTTGAACTGATTTTTAGTAGAGAAACATCTTAAAAGAGATTACTTCATGACATTATCCTAAATATATAAGCGAAAAAAGTTGAGTAGGGGCTTTAAAATATGCATGTCAGAGGTAAAAAAAACCTGTGTCAGTGTAATGATGCAAAGTAATATAAATCTGACATTATGATATAAGAGGTGAATTTGGACTTCTTAAGAAATGTTTTCATGTTCTGTAAAGCATGAAATTAATTTAATTTCATCTGGGTATACATTTTGAGTCCTGTGGTCATTCTCAGTTATCTTTTTTATTGCTCTTGTTTTTATCTTTTTTTTCATCTTTTATTAGTTTTTTATATTAATCAGTTATCTAGTGTTTTTATGTTAGTGGCAATATAAGTTCATTTTGATACCTTTGTCATAAATATGTTTTATGCTTTTTATATTCATAAGCATTAAAAAAGGGAATAATAAGAAAGAGAAACCCAGACAAGTGCGATAATAAAGTGGTCAGTGAAAATGAGCTATATTTATAACCCCAAAGGGCATATACAGATGAAATTAAATTAATTTCATGTTTTATATTTAGAACATGTTTTAAAAATAAAGATCATATTGCTGATTTATGGTTACTTAGGTTTCCATACTTTAGAACCTCCCCTCCCTTCATATTTATCTTCAACTCTTCTCCAGTTAAGTGAAGATTAGTCCAAACACTCAAAACTGCTGGAATTGTCATTTTTGTAGCTAAATGATGAAAATTTTTTCATGTTTTTCACTATTTTTGGTATTAAATTCCTTTTTTTATTTAGAAATAATATAGTAAAAAATTCAGAATAGTCAAATTAAATTATCTTACAGTTGAAGTGTTCAAACATGTTGAAACGACTGTTATTTGCATTTGCAAAAATAGTTCTTGTACACAACGGACACCCCTTCAGGACAAAATGTCAGCCATTTTCCTGTTGACTTTGATTTGGAATTTTTCTTTGTATTTCAGTGAAAATATTTTTTGAATACTAATTGATACTGACTTTTAATCAGTAATCTTTCCAGCCTTTCCAAAAGGGAGGCAACAAAACTGTCTAAAAGTTGCAATAAAATCAGAATGATGGTAACTTTATTCCTATCAAACTGTTTCTTGCTTCTGGGTAAGATTTTTTTTTGTTCTGAAACCTTGGAACTAAAAGCTGCAGTTACTTGTAGTTTTTCTAGCACAGTTATAGATGTTTATTCAATCTATAGAGTTATATCATACAACCAGAAAATATTTCAGAGATGTCTAAAAATAAGTTTCAAATATGCTCTAAACAACTGTAATAATATGTTAAAGATTTTAATTGTTTGGGTGTGATTGAAGTGTAAACAATTAATTACAGTTGTCACTCTTTTATTTAGGTTTTCATGTAAGGGTAAATAAGTTTACAATCAAACATCTTATAAAGTTTTGATAAAATTTATATTTCCTTATTCATATTATATTACTTACATTTTGAAGTTTCATGTTTTCTAGGTTAGCTACTATTTCCCTCTGAAAACTCTGTGGCGATCTTTTTTTTGTGCTCTGGTGGCAGCTTTTATTCTTCGCTCCATCAACCCATTTGGCAATGACCATTTGGTAATGTTTTATATGGAGTATTCTAGAAACTGGATTTTTGTGGAACTGATTCCTTTTATCATACTCGGAATTTTAGGGGTGAGTTTTCTGGAAATATTAAATTTTAGGGAAAATTATTATTTTTTGAACTATTAAAGAAAAATCCCTTAAAAATATTAGATAGCTGTTGAAATTATTTAATTAACTAAGTTATTTTAAATGAAAATCTTAAGTTCACATAAACTTTTATTAGAAGATGTATGGTTCATAGATTGTATAATGAGCTATTTATCATTTGTTTCATATACTTTTTAACATACATGTATGTTTAAAAGATAGGTGACAGTAAAAAACAGATTTAATCCATGAACTTGCTACAATAGAACTTCATAAGATGAACAATATTTTTGACTAGAGAAAACATGCTAACTGCAAGCAACTTGGCTAGTTTGTTATGTTGTACATGATCTGTTCATTTTGTATTGTGTAATGTTAGACGTGTTGCGTAATTTCAACATAGCTATATGCAGAAATGATTAACGAAAAGAGCATGATTCCATCAATTCAACAATGTACTGAAGTGCTTTTGAGATAAAAACTAAGTTTACATCACTAAGTACAGAAAAAATGACTAGACAAAGTGATGTGCAGAAAACAAGAAAATCATGTTGCTTTATATAGTTACTAGCTATATTTCACTCAAGAACATATTTTTCAATAAATAAGATAATGGAGAGCTAAAATGAAGTCATGAATATAAAAAAATAACACCTTACTTAAGCTTATATCGTGTTTTGGCATTTGAATATATCTTTTTATGTTCCATTATATTGTGAAACTGCTTTAATCTTCATACTTAAATGTTATATAGAAATTATAGATTTAATTTATGAGAAAAGAAGTTATGTAACCCTTTTGTCTATGTGAAATTCGTAAAATATCTCGTACTGAAAAGCCTCACAAATAATATCTATTTCTACAAAAATCATAAATTTTCTTTGAAGTTAGATTATTGTATCTTTTCACTGGTGACTACTTTTCAGGGGCTTATAGGAACAATATTTATAAAAGGAAACATTATGTGGTGCAACTACAGAAAACAATCACTATTGGGAAAGTATCCAATCACAGAGGTGAGTAAAAACTATCAGTTGTTGGACATTTTTCATTTACAGTTTAAGTGAAAGTTT